ACTTATGTAGGACTGCTCCTCTCCCCCACTGCTTAGAGCATTCCTTCAAGGTTCCTTCCTATTCACTGTGTGTGTGTGTGTATATGTGTGTGTATGTGTGTGTGTGTATGTGTGTATCTGTTTGCATGTTGTCTCTCCCTTTAGAATGTGACTTCCTTGGATAGAGCACTGGGCCTAGAGTCAGGGAGACCTGAGTTAAAATCTGGCCTCAGACACATAACACTCACTAGCTGTGTGACTCTGGGCAAGTCACTTAACCCCAATTGCCCTCACACGCACACACAAAAAAAGATTTCCTTGTGATTTCCTTGAGAGGAGGTGTTGAGGTTTAGAGGTTTATGGGTGCTGGGACCCCAAAATCATGAGATGTGGATCCTGCCCAAATGAATTTGACCCAAGCCTTCTTTCAGCCAAAGACAAGGTTTATTAAAGATCTGCCATATTGGCCAGACAGTTAAGGAGCCTGAATATTGGTGAGCTATTGGCTAGATTTTAAGAATCTGAGCCCGGAGGCGGAGCCAAGATGGCAGAGTGAAAGCAGCAACTTGCTTGAGCTCTGTCCCAAACCCCTCCAAATACCTATAGAATTGGCTCTGAACAAATTCTAAGGCAGCATAACCCACAAAAAGACACAGTGAAACAAATTTCCAGCCCAAGACAACCTGGATAATTGATCAGAAAGGTGTATCGTGCCAGGCTGGAAGCTGAACGCAGGGCGGTGTGGACACACAGGCCGCAGTGAACCTGGAGCAGGCCTCAGAAGACTGAATCAAGGGTAGCTGTGGTGGTTTCCAGACTTCTCAATCCATGAATGCCAAAGACAACTTAGAAGGTCAGTGGGAAAAGTCTGTTTCTGCGATGCTGAGAGAGTAAGGCGGGGTCTCAGATCCAGTTCCCTGAGAAAACGGCCCTGGGGTGGGCAGCTGCTTCCGAAGCTTACGGCCCACAGATTGAGGGGGAATGGAGTGGCTGATCAGAGAGGGATTGCAGGGATCTCTCTGCTGATGCTGAGGCAGGAATCTCTTGCTTGGGCCAGTGCTTAGATCTGGGTCACAGTTCTGGACAGGGGTCCTGGGGTGAAGAGGAGCGCTGGCACAGTACAGCTTGTAGTGGCTGTGGGCAGGAAACCTTCCTCACAGTTCCAGGACAGAAAGGAGTGCTTGTGGTCACTGATAGACCACAGCACAGGCCAGGAAAGGAGTAACCACCTCGCCCCTTGACATACCACCTTGCAAGAACTGAAAATTTACGGGTCCCTACAAGTATCTCTGAAAAGAACTATATAAATCCCCAAAGCTTGGGACAGTACATTCTCCACATTGGAAGCAGACTCTTACCTTAACAAAAAGTTTAAAACTCAAGTAATTGGCTGGGATCATGAGCAAGCAGCGCAAAAAGAGTCAAACTATATTATCTTACTTTGGTGACAAAGAAGATCAAAATATATAACCGGAAGAAGACAACAAAGTCAGAGCTCCTACATCCAAGGCCTCCAAGAAAAATATGAATCAGTCCCAGGCCTTGGAAGAGCTCAGAATTGGATTTTGAGAAGCAAGTAAGAGAAGCAGAGGAAAAAATGTAAGAGAAATGAGAGTGATGCCAGAAAAACACGAACAACAAGTCAACACCTTGCTCAAGGAGACCCAAAAAAATACTGAAGAAAATAACACCTTAAAAAATAACCTAACCCAAATGGCAAAAGAGGTCCAAAAAGCCAATGAGGAGAAGAATGTCCTAAAAAGAAAAACTGGCAAAAATGGAAAAGCAAGTCCAAAATCTTACTGAAGAAAATTCTTCCTTAAAAATTTGAATAGAGCAATTGGAGGTTAGTGACTTTATGAGAAATAAAGATAGTGTAAAAAAACCCAAGAGAATGAAAAAATAGGAGAATGTGAAATACCACTTTGGAAAAACAACTGACCTGGAAAATAGATCCAGGAGAGACAATTTAAAAATTATTGGGCTATCTGAAAGCCATGATCAAAAAAAGAGCCTAGACATCATCTTTCAAGAAATTATCAAGGAAAACTGCCCTGGTATAGTAGAACCAGAGGGCAAAATAGAAATTTAAAGAATCCACTGATCTCCTCCTCAAAGAGATCCCCAAAGGAAAACTCCTAGGAATATAATAGCCAAATTCCAGAGTTCCCAGGTCAAGGAGAAAATATTACAAGCTGCACAGAGAAACAGTTCAAGTACTGTGGAAACACAATCAGGATAACACAAGATTTAGCAGCTTCTACATTAAAGGACCGCAGGACATGGAATATAATGTTCTGGAGGTCAAAGGAGATTGGATTACAGCCAAGAATCACCTACCTGGCAAAACTGAGTATAATCCTTCAGGGGAAAAAATGGTCATTCAGTGAAATAGAGGACTTTCAAGCATTCTTGATGAAAAGACCAGAGCTGAATAGAAAATTTGACTTTCAAATACAAGACTCAAGTGAAACATGAAGAAGGAAACAGGAAAGAGAAATCATGAGACTTATTAAAGTTGAACTGTTTACATTTCTGCATGGAAAGATGATATTTATAACTCATGAGACCTTTGTCAGTATTAGTATAGTTGGAGGAAAAAATAGTATATGTATGTATGTATAGATAAATAGATAAATGGATAGATAGATAGATAGATAGATAGATAGATAGATAGATAGATAGAGGGCACAGGGTGAGTTGAAGATTAAGGGGTCATATCTGGAGAATAAAATTAAGGGATGAAAGAGGATTATATTTGGAGAAGAAGAAAGGGAGAGGTAGAATGGGGTAAATTATCTCACAAAAAATAAAACAGAAAAGAAAATGCTTTTACAATGGAGGGGAAATGGGGGAAGGTGAGAGGGAATGAGTGAATCTTATTCTCTTAGGATTTGGCTTAAGGAGGGAATAACATACACATTCAATTGGGTAAGGAAGTCTGTCTTACCCTATGGGAAAATAGGGGGAGAAGGGGACAAGAGAGCCGGGTGATGATAGAGACTAGGGCATATTGGGAAAGGGGGTAATCAGAAGCAAATACTTCTGAGGAGGGACAGGGTTGAAAGAAAGAATAGAATAAATGGGAGGACAGGATAGGATTAAGGGAAATAGAGTTAGTTTTTCACAACATGTCTGCTAATGAAGTGTTTTGCATAACTGCACATGTATAACCTATAAATGACGGTGGGTGGGGAGGGAGGAAGGGAAATTTGAAACCTAAAGTTTTAAAAACATATGTTTAAAAAAAATGTTTTTACATGCACCTGGGAAATAAGAAATACTGGAAATAGGGTACATCTTGAGGTGGGGGAAGGGTTGAGATGGGGTGAAAATTTACAACTCAAAATCTTGTGGAAGTAAATATTGAAAACTGAAAATAAATAAATTTATATTAAAAATAAATTAAAAAAGTAAGAATCTGAGCAATTGTGTTAAGGAATCTGAGCATTTGTATTGCTAATGCAAGAGTGTCAGTTCTTAAGAATCTGAGTCATTGCCTAGATTTTAAGAATCTGAGCATTGGCTAGATTTTAAGAATCTCAGAACCTTAATAAAGACAAGGTGAACAGAGAGACTGTGGGAGGGATCCAGGAGTAGCCAGGTAGTTTGGGGTGCCTAGAGAAGGGGTCTAAGGATTATATGGATGGGAGTTGCCAGTAAGCTGGGGTGAACAGAAAGCCAGGAACCTGGACCATGTGGCTAAGGGAGAATGGAATCTAGATAGGATTAAGGGTGGGAAATGATCAGGGGCAATCATGAGGTCACAGAACAGAATTAGGAGACTGGATATAGCCACAATGAAAGGCCAGCTTGAGTGGATTACAGCCTGGGGTAAATGCCAGAGATCTGGGAAAAGTCCAGGGATTTTCTTTTTTTGGGGTACAGATCCCAAAGACATGTTTTTTTTCCTTTTAGAGGTTCAAATCCCATCCCCATCAGAGAGACTATATTTTTGCTTTTCTTTGCATTCCCAGAGCTTAGTATAATGTCTGACATGAAAGAAATTCTTGCTGAATTCTTTTTGAATGATTGACTGTAGCTGCATAAATAGAAAGAAGAAAAATAGCAACAATAAAATAAACTAAATAACATGTTGTTGTGGTGTTTAGGTTTTGGAGACCAAGTTAGTTTTCAAAATAGAGATGAGAAAATATTTTCTTTGCAAATGTGGTGGAATTGAATGTGGAGCACTGCCAGTATTGTTAGACTTGGTTAATGTGTTGGTTGTTTGGTTGGTGAACTACTTTCCCCCCCTCTTTTCAGCATTTGTTCACTGTTATAGTGGAAATCTTTCTGGGCAGGGCCAGGGGTGGGGGGTGGAGTATAAACTGGGAAATTAAGGTGATATAAAAACAAAAGTTACTAATACAAATTAAAAGGTATAAGCAATGGGGTAGTGAGCAGCAGATAACAGTGCTAGGTTTGTAATCAGGGAGACTTGAGTTGAAATCTTGTCTCAGATACATACTAGCTGCATGACCTTGGGCAAGTCATTTCACCTCTGCCTCAGTTTTCTGATCTGCAAATTGGGGATAATAACAACTTCTACCTCCTAGGGTTTTTATGAGGATCAAATGAGATAATAATTGTAAAGCTCTTAGTGCAGTGCCTGACACACAGTATGTGCTATACAAAGGTTATTTTTGTATTGCCTATTATTATTATCCCCAGATTTATTCCATAGGGTAGCTAAGTGGCATAGTGGATAAAACACCAGGCATGAAGTCAGGAAAACTTGAGTTCAAATCCAGCCTCAGACATTAGGTTTGCGACCTTGGGCAAGTCACTTAACCCTGTTTGCCTCAGTTTCCACATCTGTAAAATGAACTGGAGCAGCAAATACCAAACTACTGTAGTATTTTTGACAAGGAAACCTCAGAAGGGGTCACAAAGTCAGGACTAAAAACGACTAACAACAACAACGAATTTATCCCAGGTCTTTTTAACCACCAGCATCTTTACCAGCTAAGGGTGATGTAAAAAGTTTCTTCTAATAATTCGACCTAACATTTCCTCAGGGAACCAGCATGATGCATGGAATGCCATCTCTGAGGACCCATGGAAATTTCATTTCTGTGAAGATTAGATTGAAACTCATCACCGGAAGAAGGAAAAATGCTACTACAAAGCAAAACCTCAAGAACTCTTCTAGTAAGCTGTCCCCTAATAAAGGCTGACAAGAATGCCAAGAAATTTCATATTTATTTCATTTTGCTTGATAACACTTTGAGAACAATCTGTTTAATTGATTCACTGTCTTAATTAATGCCAAAATAATTAAAAACTGATGGATATTTTACCCTTGAGTTCATTCTGCACGTTCCCAAAGGCTCTCTTTTTTTCTTTCCCCCCCTACCCATAGCTACTGAATTGTTTGGAGCTTTGTTTGTGATTTTTTCAACTGGACGAGAAAGTTAATGGTAAACCTCTAAAGCTGGGCAAAACATTTTTTTTCATAAAAGCAATGTAATTAGGATAAAAAATATGTTATTTCATTGTTTGAAGTTGCCTGTGTAATCTTAAGAGAAAGCACTTTTTTTAAAAATTTTATTAAATGGAAGAACTTCTTAATAGGTAGATTTTTGTATATTTCAGCACAGCAGGTAGCCAGGAACTGCTAGGCTGAGGACAAAGGAATCGGTGACTTTTGCTGATCCTTGTCCTTTACCTGTCTACACTTTTCCCTGAGTGTGTTGCTCTGAAGTTTGTTGTCTCTTCAGTAGGGGCATCTGGGTCCCAGAACTTGAATTCTAATCCTGCCTAAGATTCCCAAAGAACAATTCTATTTTTAACTCTAGTCTGAGGGTTCCTCTCTTGCAAAAAGATAGCAGTAGAAAGAAAGTTAAAAGTTACCTCTAGGTAACTCTAGTGCAAAACTAGGTACTCTAGTACAAAAATGAATCAGCTATTATGAACCATTTCGAGCCACTCATCACTGGAGAAAGGTTTAAAACCTATATTGTCCATTCAGGAGAAAAGCATTTTTGTCTCACTCTGAGCTTAATCTACCATAACACTTTGCATGCTCTGGCAAAACAGATATGCTTTGCTCTGTTCTCTGAGTGAACCCAAAATTCCATTTCCTGTGTCAACAACTACAAGGCCAGATGAAGCTTAAAAGGTATATTCTTCTCTTTATGACTGCCAAGGACAAGCAGTCATGAAGTGGAGACTATCTTGAATAATGGGACTTTTCATTATGTCATGTTATGTTATGTTACGTTAAGTTATGTTATGTTATGTTATGTTATGTTATGTTATGTTGTGTTATGCTATGTTGTTATGTTATATTATGTTAGGTTGATAGAAGAAACACAGATATACTGGAAATATAATTTCACTTGTCAGTTTGACACATCTTACTATATTTATAATCTATCCTATCAAGAAAATTTCTTTCTCATATTATGGTTAACACATATAAAGACTATAATTGTTGTTGACACAGTCATCCTGAGTTGAGATTGCTCTAAGGGTCTCCTTCCACTTGCTTTCCTCTGAATTCAAAATTATTTTCTGATTCCATGCGTGCATGATTTTCTGGATTAATGAGAATAAATAAGCACATTGTAACACATGCACAGCCTGATTCTCTTTGTTCCTTGGTCAAACCTTTTGTAAGGTGAACCCCATTTGGTTTGTTCTTTGGACAAACCTTCAGTTAAGGGGGAAACTGATTCTGTTTGTTTCTTCGGACTAAACCTTTAATAAATGGTTGACAGTATGCAACAGACAGTTTTATTCATACAATGAAAAGGGAAAGCTAGGAAATAAAGAAAAACTGAATCATTGTAATCAATTGAGTAGTTAATATTCAAGTCTTGATGTAACATATGCAACAGGGTTACTCATTGATTGTTTAATATTTAGCCTCCACTAAGTACACCCTGATCTGAACAAGTGGGCTCCTTCGTCCTCATGATCACTTTCTGTGGTAACTTTTCCATTCTCATCTAATTTTCTTCTGCCATTGTTTCCTCCACAATTAGTAGTCCAGATCAAAACACCCCATTGATCCAATGACCAGGGAGAAGAAGGTGTCAGTTGCCTTTCAGAATGATCTCACCAGATCCTGTAGCAAAGAAAAGAGGATACAAAGAGACCATCATATCTCAGATTCAGGTTCACCTAAAAATCATGAGCTCATAGCTTATGGCCTAATGACAGAAAGTGTTCTTTCCCCCCACACCCACACCCACACACATATACACTGACCATACAGAGCTCTTTCACTCAGGTAGGAATAAAATCCCAAGTAAGTATCTCTATAAGGTTTCAGCTCAGCAGCCAATAAAAGAATTTTCATGGACGACTGGGATGGGTGAGAGAATATATGTGCATCTTCTTTAGTGGAAGAGAGGAAGGCCCCTCCTTTGGTTATGCCCAACTAGTGCAACAATATAAAGGACAGAAAGTTGGGGAGACAAATAAATTCACCTTTCTTCTGAACTTCAAAAATACTGCTAATTATTGTTAATTAATACTGTCGATTATCTCTGGAAAAACAGGGTTTAAAAAAAGCCCATTGTGAGCTACTTGACTATGACTCTAAACCCAAATCACTCTGGCTTTCATTGAACGGCCAGTAATAGACTCAAACCCTAGCCTTTGTTGCTCATTGTTTGGATTTTGATGGCTTGAAATGATTGCAAAACTCTTAGAGTCTTCCTGTCTCTGAGAGATACTTAACTGGGCTACCTTTTGTCTCAAATCTTACCTACCCCTTAATAATTGAATAGCCATTGCCTCAGACAAACCTGGGGAAGATCTTAACTTTAAAATACCAAGGTCACCCACTATATCCCAGGCCATTGCCAGTCTTCTTGACTTTTGTCTTGCCATTGGACTTTGGTGACTCTGGTGGAGAGAGTGAGGTTGATGACTGCAACTCTGCCTCACTTAAACCCAATTCACTTTCCACTCATACATCCACCACCCTAATTTATTACCTCATTACTTCTTCTGGACTATTTGAGTAGCCTCCCAATTGTCTTTCCTGCCTTAAGTCTCCTCTCACTTCAATCTATCCACCACACAGTTGCTAAAATGATTTTCCTAAAACATAGGTTTGACCACCTCACCTCATTACTCAATAAACTCTAATGACTCCATATTACCTGTGAGGTCATTTATAAATTCACCAATTTAGTATTTAAAGCCTCTCTTAAGTTCCCCTTCTTTCCTTTCCAATCTCCTTAATATTTCTGCTCTGCTTCCTCCCAAGTACTCTATGGTCTAGTCATACCAGTCTATATACTGTTCATCGCAAGTAGAACTCCTTCGGCTATCTCCCTACCTTTGCATTAGCTATCCTCTCAGGCTTGAAAAGCTCTAACTCTTCACCTCCTATTAGAAATAGAGCCCCTTGAACCCCCTCAGTAGGGTTGGGAAATTACCCAGGGCAAGCTGCCTGCAGCCCATTGCTTTCCCTGTTGCAATGTTGGGTGGAGTCTCACTCTTAATAACAAAACTAAACCCAGAGTGAAATCCGAATCGTTTATTATGGTTCTTGCAAGAATTAAGTGTGCCCCCTGGTGGGAGAGGCACACTGTACAGAAGTGAGAGCCAGATTTTATACTGTTAGTATGATTCTGCTCCTCCTGTCAGGACTAGGCTAGGTCCAGCTCATCTGAGTTACACCTTTCCTGAATCGCCCATCCCATGTTCCTCCTTCTCATGTTAAGCTCTCCCAATTCACACGTTCCATGTTCAGAAAATGGCAGCTATCTCCACCCTTGGGGTGTGTCAGTTAATATTAAATAAGCTTATTAAGCAAGCCCAGTGGAGAAAAGCCTTTGGTCCTTTCCTGACCCCTACGGGTTGCAACTGGTTCAGCCTCCAGGGCTCTTTCTTAAGGAACTAGTTGTTTGCAGAATGTTTGGGGCACTTTCTGATTATTTGAAGGACTATTCACAAGATCTTGGAATTCCCTTGTTCTGCTATGGAAGCCTAATTTCTAAATTTTTCCCACACCTCCACCTCTTGCAATTCCTCATTTTTTTCAAGTCTCAATTAAAGGGCCATCTTTAGAATATGGCTTTTCCTGGACCTCTAACTACTAGTTCCTTCTCTTCTATATTTATCTTGATTCTACTTCACATGGATCGTGAATATCCATACACTTATATTCATGCTAGCTTCTTCTTTTGTCTTTGTATCCCCTGATGCTTAATGCAATTCCTGATACATGGTTTGCACTTAACAAACACTTCCTAATTAATTGGTTGACCTCATTTACATTAGGCCTATCTTCATATTGGAGAACTAGAGTTTGGAGATGGAGTTTGGAGATACAAGTATATATATATATATATATATATATATATATAATACATATATATATATATATATATATTTTTTTTATTTTTCTGTGCTGTGTTGGCTGCTAGGTGCCATGTAGATATCTTTTAAAATGGTGTCTGAGTCTATGATTAAGGAGTCACTTTCTCACCAGTGGTCTCTTCCATATGAGAAATCACTCTAAATAGATTTAACAATGTTTTTAAAGTCCTAGAAAGAGGTTAATTATGTCGGTCACCCAGCATCATAAAGTTATGATGATTTGTTCAGCAACTAGCAGTTTTTAATGAGCTTTTAGTTACCTGAAAGATGAAAGTGTGCTAAACTACCCCAGATTATGATAAAGTATGCATGGTACAACACTGATCATAATGACTTAATTAGGTGTTAATGTGGATTTTACTTTCATCAGAATCTAATTGTAGCTGAATATTTTAGGGGTCCTTTCATCAGCATTTTCTACCTTTGCCAGGGTCAGTTATGGATGGCTCTTCCTTTAAGAGTCAACCAGGGACCTAAGGGAGAAAGATCCTGGACCACCTTTTACTCTTTGATACCATATGCAAGAGAATGAATGGTGAATAAGAGATGTGACACTAATAAAGATCATTTTTTTAAAAGACTTGTTCTATGAGCCACCAAATCAAAGAATTTAAGAGTTGGAAGGGCCATGTTGGTGTCCATCAAGTTCAATCTATACGCAAAGAATTCTAACTATACATATCTGGCATGTGTTTTTCACAACTCTACTTGAAGTCTATAATTTTCACACTGCATTGTGAAACATTATAGTTTCACAATGGTCTCTTTGATTCAATAGCATTTGTTTTACTGGCTAGTCCTGATGGCTGAAATTCATATCACCATCACTATTCCTTAAATGTTCTCTGTAATCACATGTTATTTAATGGCCTTTAATTAAGTGTTAAAGAACCAGTCACAGAATTTTAGGGTTATAAAGATCCTGAATTTATAAAACTAGAGTAGGGTAACAAGGACTTTTCCAATATCTGAGTGAACTGCATCTCCCAGTGAGCAGGTTTTCTCTCCCTGGTCATTCATAGAATACTGCATCTGCACAATGCAGCATGGCCCTTCTCTTGTTCATTGCTCTGAGCTACTACCTCTATAATCCCAATCACTGTATCACTCCTCTCTCAAAAGCCTGCCATCCCTTAAAAAATGGATGTGCAGAAGGGACTGTGTGAGAGCTGGACTAATACGACCTATTATTGTTGAACTACATCCATCATCAAGTTCTACCATCCTTGATCTTTTCTAATTGCATTTGGCACAGGTGAAATAATTCTAAGTATGGCTCTGCTTATTTATCTGTCACCTCTTCCAACCCTAACTCAACAACAAAAAAGTACCTATTATAATACAGAATATCCCAAAATCGTAGTGTACTTTCAAGCTATAAAAGCCTAAATAGTTTAAAACCGCACTAAAACTTTGGAGATACCAATCATTCTGGAGAACAATTAGGAACTATGCTCAAAGGGCAATAAAACTAAGCATATCCTTTGACCCAAGAGTACCACTGCCAGGTCGGTATCCCCAAGAGATCAAAGGAAATGGAAAAGGACCTATTTGCAAAAAGATATTTATAGCAGCTCTTTTTGTGGTGGCAAAGAATTGGAAATTGAGGGGATGTTCATCAATTTGGAAATGGCTGAACAAATTGTTGTATATGAATATGATGGAATATTATCGTATTATAAGAAATGATGAGCAGGCAGACTTCAGGAGAAAAAAAAAACTTGGAAATACTTATATGAATTGTTGCTGAGTGAAATAAGCAGAACCAGGGGAACGTTGTACACAGTAATAGCCACATTGTGCAATGACAGACTTTGATAGAGTTAACTCTTCTCAGCAATGCAGGGATCTAAGATAACTCCAAAAGAATCATGAGGAAAATGCTATCCACATCCAGAGAAAGAACTTTGGAGCCTGAATGCAAATGGAAGCATACTATTTGCTCTCCTTTCCTTTTGTTATTTTGTTTTTTTTTCTTTCTCTTGGTTCTTCTCATTAGTTCTAATTCTTCTTTACATCATGACTAATGTGAAAAAATGTTTAATATGAATGTATAAGTAGAGTCCATATCAGATTTCACACTGTCTTGGGGAAGGGAAAAGAAAAAGAGGCCAAGAAAATTTTTAAAACTCAAAATCTTATGGAAGTGAATGTGGAAAACTAAAAATTAATTAGTTAATTAGAAAGGAAGGAAGGAAGGAAGGAAGGAAGGAAGAAAGAAAGAAAGAAAGAAGG